TTTACAAAAAAGTGATTTTGTTAGTAAAAAAATGACAAACAATAGAAAAAAATGTGATAGAAAAAAGTGGCAAGCACTGAAAAAGTGACATGAATTCAAAAAAAGTGATAAAAGTTCAGAAAAGTGACAGTTTAAAAAAACTGCAAATATGCGAAAAAGTGACAAAATATCAATCAAAATCATTCGAAAAAGTAACAAACGCCAATCGAAAAAGTGACAAACCATTCATTCACCACTCTTCTTCTCACAAAATCTTACAAACAATCATAACCCACAATTTTCAGCTCTAAAATAAGATGAAATCACACAAACTTATCTTCTAAACAATTATCACCATAGATTCAAATAAACAACAACTGAAGATGGAAATGCTCGGAATTCATTCGAGAAAATGGTTTAAAAAATTTGACAACTCTACACATTCTCTGGTGTCCTCTAAATGCTCAAGGGATCAAGAACCCAAAAAGAAATTCATCCATTTTTGCCTTTGAAAAATTTTATCTACTGCGAAGAAAAATCCTAATTTCTAGTGCTCAAAGAACTAAATTAAATTTTCCCTTTTCAAAGACCTGATTATTTTGCAATAATATGGCCATTTTGATTCCACAGTCCAGGTACTTTTCCATTAACTAGCCTCCCAAGTCTTTCAATTTTCTCCAAGTAATCTATTTCGTTTCGTGGATCTCAATTTCACAATACAACACATCTTATAAACTTTAGAATGCAACAACCTCCAAAATTAACTTCTGGTAAATTACAGAAAGCTGCTGAACCGGCCAAAACTGAAGTGGCCAATAATTTTTTTGACATGATTTCTCATGTGGATGGAGCCGTTTATCCGTGGGTGAATCACCTTCTTCTTCGTGTNGCTGAATCGGCCAAAACTGAAGTGGTCGACAATTTTTTTGACATGATTTCTCATGTGGATGGAGCCTTTTATCCGTGGTGAATCACCTTCTTCTTCGTGTAGGTAATGCTTCTTCTTTGTGTAGGTGAAAGGACTTCCCATAGTGGGTGATTAAGGTTTCTCTCTGCAAGAATGACAGAATTGTGGTCTTGTACTTAGTTGGAAGATTTTAGGTTTTGTTAAGACGTATTAATTACGATTATAAGATGTTTAATTTGTTTTTAAGTGCATTAATCTAATTCCTTTCCTTTTTAAAGTAATTGACCTAATTTCCTCTTAAAATTAAGGGTTAATCCAGTTGTACATAATGGTTTATATATAATGGATTACCCTCTTTCACATAATGCACGGAGCCAGCGTGTATTTAAAAATTCCGACAATCTGGTCTACATCCCCATTGTGAGTAGTAGGTAAAAGATTCGATAAAAAAATTCGGTACATGTAGCTAGAGGTGTCAATCCGGGTGGTTCGGGCCGACCGGTAACGGCCCGCATGGAAAAAAGCCCCCCCGTTACGGGTTCCGGGGCGGTTACGAGTCGGTCCACAATTTTGGACTACAACGTAGGCCC